CTCAATTACTCAAGCATCATTTGTTTTTTTTAGAGGTTTATATTCTATCTAAATCTTTTTTTTCATGTACAGTCATTTTCTACTTCCACCATATATTGTTGTTTTTCCCCAAATATTCTTAGGTAATCACAAATTTAAGCAACAGTCTCTAAACTTTCTTTAATATTTGGAAATTTACATTTGAAAACCTTCACGTTTTCTGTTGTTGTTGCTATTTGTATACAAAAACAGTGATCCATATTAATCAAGATACTGTACGCAACAAGCTTTTTTTTTTTGGTTTTTTAGGATTCTTTTTTTCTGAACACAAACCCATCGAAGAGTAAATGAAGAGAAGTATTCTACATGGTCTTGCATCGTTATACATATTCATCAGCCAAAACTTGAAAAAGAAAATAGAGCAGAAGAAAAAACGACTGTTTTAAAAGCTAAAAAGCTTTAAACTTTTTAATTAAGTAGAACAGCAACCTCTTTTACCAGCTCCAGATGTGTCATCAACGTTAATCGTTGTACCTTGCCCGGGAATCGCGGAATTAGCAGCTGCTGCTTCTTGAGCAGCCAAAGCTTTTTTGCTTATGATATGATAAATCTCTCCTAACACGGTTTGAAATGCTTTCTCGACATTGGTGGATTCGAGAGCAGATGTTTCCAAGAACGAGAGACCTTCTGTTTCAGCTAGTGACTGACCATCTTCCTCAGCAACCGATCTCAAGTGGTTTAAATCGGATTTGTTCCCAGCCATCATGATCACAATGTTGGAATCCGCATGGTCTCTAAGTTCGCGTAGCCACCTCAGGACATTGTCAAAGGTTTGTCTTTTGGTGATGTCATAGACAAGAAGTGCACCTACTGCGCCTCTGTAATAAGCGCTTGTGATGGCTCTGTATCGCTCTTGACCTGCAGTGTCCCAAATCTGAGCCTTAACAGTCTTTCCTTCAACCTATATAACCATAAGACAATCACATAGCAACTGGTTAGATCTCAGAAGGTGAAGCTTTCACAAACATGATTGCTTATTGTATGAAACTATTACATTGTTCAACAATTTATAATATATATATGTATGTAACTATGTATCATAACTCTTTTATGAGTTGGCTTTTTAAAAAGATGGAAGGTTGACTTTGAGTTTGATGATGAGGAGAAGCACATTATTTGGGACAAAGTTGTGGGAAGCTTTTTGTTCATTGGCTTTTTCTACCATCCATTCAAAGACATAAACATTAACAAAAAGCAATGCTAATGACTCATAGCCAGCACATCTCAGATTCTCTCTTGATATAAAACTCTCAAATATAACAAAATAATAAAAATCAAACCAAATTTCAAATATAGTTTGAGAGAACAATGCACCAAACATTAAACTATTCAATTCTCAAGATACCACCAAAGGACCTTTCACTTGCATGTTCTTAATACAGCTCGAAAATATCATAAAGGATGCAACTTCATAAGAACACACAAGCAAACAAAGTAAAATTAGAACACAAACTCATCAAAATGAACTACCATTGACCTGAAATTTCTACAGCCTAATGATGAGTAAGCAAACCAAACAGGCAACAATTAAAGAGGAAGTAAATAGGGATAAAATTAGTTGGAAACAGAGACACAGAGAAAACTAAGAAACCACCACAAATCACAGATCCTAACACATAAACCACATAGAGATCACGTGAAACCTATACATAGAGCTAGGAGCATGGATTTGTTCAACTTTCTCTGATGATTACTGATACTAACACAAGTGGAATAACCTTGTTGTGTTCATTCTCTCCCATAATTAAAGCAATGAATAAAGAGAAGAGAAGGAAAGAAAACTGGAATCACCTGAAGAGTTCTGGTGGCGAATTCAACACCAATAGTGGACTTAGATTCCAAGCAAAACTCGTTCCTTGTGAATCTAGACAAGATGTTCGATTTCCCGACACCAGAATCACCGATCAACACGATCTTGAACAAATAATCATAATCCTGTTCTACTCTATGCGCCATTTTCCCTTCTTCGATCTCAACCCTATACACAAACATCACCGAATCAACAAGCGATCTTCACATAAAAAGTCGACGGATCCATCGAAATTAACACGAGCCCAAGCAAATCAGAAACGAAATGAACATACCCTTTTGATTTCCCTGGAAAAAAAAAACGAACTTTTTCACCTTCTTCAGATCTGCTTCAAGGATGAAATTTCTCTTCGAGGAACACACTCTCCGATTATGAAAATTTTATTTTAGCCAATTGAGGGAATTTTCTGAGGAACTGTTTAATTTGTCTAATTGGGTTTCGTATTATAAATGTTTTTGTTTGCTTACAATAAAAATAAATACGTATACATGTAGGTATGTTTGTATAATTTAATTAATATAATAATAGGTCTTTGAGTTGATACGACTAATAAACAGCGTCGTGTTAAAGAAAATGACAAAGGGTGTCTGACGTGGCAGCTAGTAATCGCTGGCTGACAACAGTAAGAGGATGTTCCAAGGGTATTTTAGGAACTCTCACTTAATTTATTTTATCTCATATATGGTAATCAGCCAATTAGGAAGAGCCACGTCACGATTTTTTTTGTTTTTTCTTTAACGTGAAAAGGGTTATCTTTTCTATAATTTGATGATTTGAATACATTTTACATTTTGTCATGTGTTGGTGATCGCTGTTGATGTTGGATTAAGCTTCAAATAATCCTAAAAGATTTAAGATTAAAGATATGTTTAAGAGATATCTAAACATATTGCGAAAAAGAAATTGTTCTTAATTAGGAATAGGAAATTTGTGTTAGGTCGAGTC